TTGAAATAGAACATCAAATTTAAAATGCTCCCCTTCTTTGTGGCTTCTAGTTATTTGCAGATTTTACAATAGATACGTTTTCCTAGTAACATGACTATTATTTCCATCACTTTTGACACAAACCTATTTTAGTTTTTTTCCTGTTTTCATCACATATACTAATAGCAACACTTGGAATAGGCAGGAAAACGTGTATATCCAGCTCACTTTCTAAGTAAGCCCTCCCTTCTCTTTAGATTCACTTACAGTAAAAACTCTGAGAACGTAGTTTAAAGTGCACCTCAGGCAATCCAGACTTGTTCTTGGTTTAACTTGTGGACTGCAAATAATCTCTCAACAAATAATTCAACTAAATAGTCATTGAGATTTCTATCAGAAGAATGTCCTAGCAGAAAAGAGTCATAGTCCTCCTGAGGATAGCCAGCTACACCAGCTAGAAGTGGTAGATGCAGAAAATTTAGAGAGAGGGGGAGATGCAAACAGAAAACTAATATGGATAGCAGCTGAGACAGGCTCTGATTTCAGAGATTACTCTGTCAAGCATCACAAAGGAAAATTGTGGATATACAACTGCCTTAAACGGGCCATTTTAGAGGCTTGGCTTTGCTGGAGATGGCAGGAACACCTTCCTGCCCAGGGGAGGTGGTGAACAAATTCCTCATTTTGCTTTGCTTATACATGCAGCTTTGGCCTTACCTTTATATTCTGTTTATCTCAATCCATGAGTTTACTCACTTTTACTCTCAAAATTCTCTACCCCATCCCACCAGGGGTGCATGAACAGCTGCATGCAGCCGAGTTGCCAGCTGCTATAAATCACAGCAGCAAGCCATGTGCAATGAACAGAAAAGATTTTTCCAGGCCTTCCCTTTTACAGGGAAGGTAAAAAGTAACAGACACCAACAGGCAATTCTTCAGTGTTGACGAACACGTCTGGGATCATATGCAGAATTGCAGGGAAAATCTCATTTGAAGGTGATCAATTCTTGTTCAGACACCTTGCTGGCAGTGCCTGGGAGTGACATCCCTTCATATTTTCCTACAAGTAGTCCAATATCATGGACAGCACACCTGAACATCCCATGCAGAGCAGGTAGAGCTCACCTGGCAGGTGCCACAGTGCACATGCAGCTAAATTAGGTATCAATTAGAGAGCAATTCCAATCAGCCTTAGCCCTTCAAAAAATTTGTAATATATGCTATAGCAAAGCATTAGCCTGAGCTAACCTACGATTTTTTTTTCCATCAGGCAGCAGGAGATTCAGGAGGCATGTGAGGGGGAAACAGACCAAATTCATTTTCTGTGCTGCCACTAAAGAAGAAAGGATGGTGTGGACATCACTTCAAACAAGCCTCTAGAGCCAAGTATTAGATTAATATAGGATACTTGATTCATTCTATGCACTCCATTCTGAAGACTCAACAGCAACTAGATTGCTGCTTTATACAAACACTAGAGACAACAGCAAATTTACTGGGAAGCAGCAAAAGATACCTTCTGCAAATAATATGTTCATTAGACTTGAGAAAGGCCAGAGCAACAGAATGCAATGTAAGCTCACTGAAACGGGTGTTGTATCTAGAATAACCAAACCTCAAAAGCAGGATACCAGATCAAGATACAGGTAATACATAATAAACACAAATTTGATCTGTACAGTAATACAAGACATCAGTAGCCAATTTTGCCCACATTAATTATAAATTAGGGTATTTGCCAAACTAGTTGGTTTAACTGCTGTCTTATATAGAATGTAACAACATCTCTAGCTCTGCTATCAAATACGAGAAGCCACAGACAATAGTCTGTTATATGATCCTATGCAAGAACTGCCCTAAAGCTGATATTGGTGCAAAATCCAGGTACTCCTGATCATCGACTCTCACTAGTTTGTTTTTATAGCTTTGTGGCACTGATAGAATCTTGTGTTCACAATTTTGGGAGCAACTACAAAATTTCCCCTTTTCTCTGTCAGCTTTAAAGATGATGCTTCCAGGTAAGATATCAAATACTTTTTATACATATGTCTAATTATGCCTATGTCTTTATTTTAGGACACTGAATAGATTGCTCTACAAAGGTAGATCCAGTTAGAAACAGGATTTGGATATGGTTACAGCTTTGGTAATCATTTTTACTAATATCAATTACTGCTGGCAATTTGACTAACACATTATCAAAATTCCTTTACCACAGTGGACAGTAATCAGATGGAAAACATCACAATAATCATATTGAAAGGCTTTGGCCTTGCTGTTGTAGCAAAGCTGTCGTTTGACTAAGCTGCTTTCCAAGCCACCTAGTGCAGGCTGATGCCAGGAGAGAAAAAGAAAATTGCAGGTTAAAAGGCTGGTACAGGCAGAGGCTCATCAGCCCTCACACAGACACAAGAGGAGACATTCCTCAAGGATAAGAACGGGACTATGCAGTAACGCTGTCCATAGCAACAGGAACTTAGATTTCTTACCCCTTTGAGACTCCTGTTCTTCTTTGTTTCAAAAGGGCTGCAGAAAAACCACTCCTGGTTGCCACTGCCAACAGCTATGCTGAGGCAGCAGCACATGCAGAGAGCACATGCATCAGCTCCCGCCCAGAAAAGAGATCTCGAGAGCTTTGGCCCACAGACTTCCTGCCCTCTTCAGCTCATACCTTGCTGAAAGCAGTGTGTGATGAGCAGGGCTCACCTCCTCCAACAGGAAAAGGTCACATGTTCCCTTGTATCATTAGATGATCAGTCCACTTCAAAACCCCAGGCATCCTCAAGAGCAAAGTGGGTTCCCACCTGATCCTATCCTTCTGGCAAGGACATAAAGGAGACTTGGTGGTGACAGATGTGAAATCTCTCCTGGAGCTCAGTGCAACAACAGGTGCATTCTCACAACCAAGAAAACTCTCCTCTTGGCTCATCACGTGAGTTAAGAATGATCAAGAATGACAGCAGAACACTGGAATAAACACTGGGCATTTCTTGGGACTCAGTACATGAAATTAGGGCTCAGAAGTCTTTCACTGCTGCCCAGGCTTTCCAGCAGGAATGAATACAAGGCTACAGCATGAAGTTGCCCAATCCATGGTTTAAAAGGATTTACATCCTGTATTTATACCACAGCAATCATGATCACTGGGGAAATTTTTCCACTAGTGAAGGAAAAAAACCTACCAGTTAAGAGTGAACCTGAGCTTTCCCCAGCAACAAAGGCTGATTTTAAACTAAGCTTAAACTGATAAGTATGGCTGCCTGAGGCAGGGCAGGAAGCCCAGAGAGTTCTTGGCTTTGTAAAGGAAGAATTCCAGATGCAGGGAATGAGGACACAGAAGAAAGACTCCCCTCTCTTGAACAGATGGCAACACTGCAACTGATGTGCCCCTGTCCCAGCTGACAGGGTACACTGAAACCCAGGTTCAACTGGCCATCTATCACAAGCCCCAGGTCCCTTTCTGCAGGGCTGCTCTCCAGTGTCTCCTTCTCCAGTCTGTGTGTTCCACCCACAGCTGCCCCATCCCAGGTGCAAAATCCAGCATTTGCCCTTCATATGACTGGTGACTGCCCAGCCCTCTGATCTGTCTATGCCTCTCGGCCTTCAAGGGACACAACAGCTCCTCACAATTTAGTGTTGTCAATGTCTTACCTTTTCTACCCACAGCTAGTAACTACAAAGATTTCAGCAGCATGGTCTAGTAAGAAACAAACCCACATGGATTCTGAAAGCAAAGCAGACAAACTCAGTCAGCCAAGGATCCAGCTGAGCTGCAGCACTAATGTGCCCCTCAGACACTCGAGGAAATTGATGCACTTTGATTTCACGCATCAATGTGAGGAAAATGGCATCTGAAGGCTGAAGTTAAAGTGCACACGTCCTGATGAATTAAGAGTTGACATAGCTGTAACATAACAGGACCATCAAGAAGAGAAGCTGAACTTCATTATTTAAATGTGCTGAGTGATGCTTTCAACAAACAGGTTCTTAACACAACACTTCTGCAGATTTTAATATATTGACACATGAAAACAGCAACTTCAGTTCACTGGAAACAGTTTTCTTTTTAATTTTACCATAAAAATGCAAAATAAACTCTTTCACTGTAACATTATAGCTTTTAATATTCCTGAGCTGCATTTTAAAAGCAAAAGTATTCTTAAATGGATTTAACAAGAGACACTGCAGCCTTACTTTTCAACAACACAAGTAAAAATAATTTAGCAAGAAGGCCCCTTTTTCAAGACAATGTTCAGCTCTTTATGTACCTGAAAAAATGTTTCAAGTAGTCCTATGCCACCTGAAATAATTACAAAGCCAAATATGTCAACAAAATATCGGAACAACTTTCAACCATTTTACCACTGCTTGTTACTTCCTACACCAAATGTGCCTCTCTTACACGGAAAGTATTACACAAAGGCATTACATGCCAGAATAATTTCGGCCACAAAGCTTGGCATCATACAGACACATGAAGGAACCAAAGCAGTTTAAAAGGTATCCTGCATAACTTTATAGTCAGTTTTAAGAAAAAATATTAAAGTCCTGCTATCCACCTCAATCAATAAAAACTCTACTTTGATAAACATTATTTCATTGAATGCACCAGGAAACACTTTAAATCAAATCTGCATGTAATAGCTTGTCAGCTCTGAAGTTCCTATAACTGGCACCCACGTATTTCTTAGGCCAAATTAGGTGATAAAAACTAAATACACTAAAATTAAGGTTTAGAAAACTGAAACTGAAGAAAACAGGTTGGCTTTTAGCACTTTAGGAACTTGAGCACAAGCACAGGTGATTATACCTACACTGTAGTAGAAACCTAGAAACAGACAACAAAGGAAGGAAGGTAAAAAAAATCAGGCATCTCCTTTCTTGATTTCGGGGACTAGATGCAAGCTAAGAACTGGCTGAAACAATTGTTTTTTCTATAGCAGTCACACCGATGAGGTCTGGTCTCCAATTTTGCGGCCCTTTTGTCCTATCACAGCCTTTCAAAGGAGCCAAGGCCTCCGCTACCCACTCCAGGTACTCCTTTGTTTACTCAGTGATCACCTCCGGTGCCTTCGCCTCCTGCTCACACTTCGGCGACTTCGACTCCTCTCTCTCCTGTCCCGCCTTCGCTCCCTACTGCGCGTTCTCCTGTAGCGGGAGCGCCGGGGGCTTGCACTTCTTCGCCGAGGACTGCGGCTGCGGCGAGGGCTGTAACTTCTGCTGGAGTGTCTGTAATGCCTCCTGTCTTTCCTATGTTTTTCATCCCGGTAACTCACATCTCTTCTGTGTCTGCTGCTCTCCCGTCTACCCTTACTCTCATCACTGTTGATGCTGCTACATGAACGGCTCTTTCTTCTCCTTGCCTCTGCTCCATGTTTGTCCTGCTCACAGTGCAAGTCCTTCTTGCAAGTGTTCTGGTCATAGCTAGAGAGGCTCTTCTCGTCCTGGTTATTAGTGGGAACACACGAAAGTACCCCTGAACCTCTTTTGTCAGAACACCTCTCAGAGTTTGTAGCATGAAGATTCTCAACTTTGTCATGAACTTTGTCATGAATGCTGCCATTTAAGTACTTGCATTGAGTGTTTACACTTTCAGGGGATGCTACTTCTGTTTGGGAGCCAGGAGCCAGTTTGCCTGTAAGAGCCTGTCCTGAGGTAGACGTGATGCAGGTGGATGACACAGTGTGGGGAACAGCACTAGGGCTTTTCAGCACGTCAGTCTGAGATGCTTCCGTTTCTTCTTTGTTTTGATTAACTGCATCAATTTTCTTGCTCAGAAGATTGTTCAGCAGTTTCTCCCTCAGTTCCTTTTCTTTTCTCTGCAACCCCAGTGCTCTCTCTTTTTCCTCTTCCACACGTTTAAGCTCAGCCTCCTGGAGCCTTCGTCTCTCCTCTAGCTGCTGAAGACAAATCTTTTCTTCATTCTGTTCTTGCTCCAAAAGCTTTACTGTCTGAAAGACAGTCAAAGGGAAGAGTAAACAAAAAATACCAGCTCATGCTTCCAAGTCATAACATAACACAAAGGCAGCAATACAGCAAAAAAAAAAAAAAATCTAATCAACAGAACTTAAAAATCCCAAAATAAAATGGTGTTTCCTTTTAAAAGGGAGAAAGAATCAAACCAAATCAACCAACAAAACCCACTAATCTAAAACTGCTGTAAGTTGAAACATTATTTGTCCACAATTCTTGAGAGAAGTTTTGTCTTCATGGCTCCTCAATACAACAAAAGTAACAATACATGAAATCTGCAGTACTGAAATACATTTATCAGGGTCAAAACTTTAAGATTTCAGTCAAATTTAAAATGTTAAAATTCAGTCAAATTGAAAATGTTTGGAATTTTATTAAGAACTTCTTTTAGATGATTGCCATCTGTGGTTCATAGATGACTTTACAATGAATCCATAAAAACAGTAAGTAATTAAATGGACAAATATTGTGTAGAAACTGATTGTCAGTTTGTCAACCACTTTAAAAATTCACTATTTGAAATGTTCAAATTTTCTTCAATTCTGACCTAGTGAAGCGGCTTAGTATAGACCTCAGAATTCTCTAAATGAAAGAAACACAATCCCTGTTTCATTAGACAACCTTTCTATTCCACAGCTACAAAGTTAAAAAGCTTGCAAAAGGCATTTCTCCCTTTTTCTAGTATATATTTGTTCTGTACATAGCACTGTGAGTTCAAAAACACTCCTGAAGTACACTGGCATCAAGAAAAAACTTGTGCTTTTCCACACAACTTTTTCTTTCTACAGAAAATATTTCACATACAGTAAACTCTAATTTGGTTTTATCCAAGTCTTAACCTTCATTGTTTCAGTGAAAAAAATAACAATACTGTTGGAGAGACAGGATCTAACATTTGAAACCTTGGCTGACAATACTTTTCCTACAGAAGAAATATTCTGCACATTTCAAACACTGACTAATGAAAGTTCAGTCTTTGAAACTGCAAAGAACAGTGAACAGAACTGCTGCGAAGCAGATGGGAAACAGCTCCAAACTGGAATCAGAAAAGGAGTCTTACATCTTATCCCCTGTGGTTAGCTCACTTCATCATGCTCACATTCTTTTACTGGACTTAAGAAAACCTGACAATTAATTTACAGCTAAAAAATGCTATTCAGAACCATAGGTTCAAGTTCACTTCCCATTTACCTACAAGTGCATATCAGTGTGTATCTTACCAAGAGAGAAATATTGTTATATTGCACTTTTCTGAAACTTTGGTCTAAGGAATTGCATCTGCAGAGGTAATAAACCTGGTGTTTAATGAATAGTGCTCCCCACCTCTCAAGTAAAGGGCTTTGTTCTGTTGGCTTTTCATTCATTTCTGAAATAAATATTGACGCTACCTTTGCTCTGCTTAGCAGTTCTGCAATTAATCTAATGGACTGAAGATTTCTCTGAGCTAACAGGAGCTTCCTTTCTTCTAGCTTTATCTTCTCTTGAAGTTTTCTCTGTTCTTCAGCTTGAAGCTTTTCAAGTTGCTTTTTGTTCCGTCGAACTTCACGATCTTTCTGTTTCTGTTCTCTCTTGCGCAACTTCTCTTCTCTTTTTCTCTCTCTCTCAAATTCTTCAAGTTCTCTCTGCTTCCTAAAAAGAGTAAAATATTTTTGCTTTATCTAGGCAAAGAACAATTTCAAACTCCTACTGTATGTACAACACATTTTGTACTTCAAGTAATTTTTTTTCTAAATAAGTCATGTTGATGAAGAACAAACAGAAAACTGAACATTTTAACCCTTGCTTGTGATAGCAAACAGTAATATTCTGCCTATTTTTAACAAGTTGGAATTCAAAGAAAAAAAATGGCTACAGCAAGGAATTATTTTTTTAATTACTTTGACAAGAGATAATAACAATTCATGAGGCAGCTGGACAGAGAATTACCACAGCAAGAAGAAAAATACCAAGCCAATGAATGCATGCAGCTGCGGTGGGTTTTATTTCTGTGATGAGGACAAAATAGTAGCTTCTGCTAAAGGCCAAGGGTCTTTGAAACTAGGTGTCTAATCGCAAGATTTTTAGCAAATGGAGTATTTTGCAGGTTTAATATTTTGAACTGAACATAAGCATAAGTGGTAAACTAAGTAACTACACTCAACTTTAAGTGCTCCACTTTAGCTACAGGAAACTTGGGTTCAGTTATTTTCCATCTTTTGATGCTGATATGCACGAGCAGTTTTGTTATGCCTGATTGTTAAAACTATAACTGAACAATAAGCAATAAATACCTTTCTTCTTCTTTTTGTTTTTCTTCAGCTTCTTTCTCTTTACGTTTTTGTTCTTCTCTTTGCTTTTCAAGTTCTTGAAGCTTTTGCCTTTCAAGTTGACGCTTCTTAATTGATGCATCACTGAGGTGTTTTGTTGAGTCAAAAGAAACCTTTACGTGATACAATTGGAAACAGTTTTAAGAAAACAAAAAAAAAACTGAAAATCACAACCTGACAATTTTAACTTAGACCTTGATGTAAATACAATCAGATGTGTAAGCCTTTTTATCAAAACAAAAGGAACTTCTCTATGTGCCCACCACCTACTGTAATCAGGTAATTGGGAACTAAATTTGTGCACATATGCAGCAAAATCAGATACCACTTCATACTTCTGTGTCTCACAACCAAAAATAAACCCCAGTGTAGCTGAGGCTCTGTCTGTACAACGTTTTCAATAGCAGAATGGGCACATGCAGAACTCTTAATTAATGCATGCTGTTAGGGACTGGACACCACTACCTAGAAACAAGTTTAAAAAAAGGCCTTCCTTTCTGTGTAAAACTGTGATTCTTAAATTCAGCAGAAGACATAGTTCTACTGCATTCAGCACCTGGTTCAAGCCTCCCCACCAGTTCTAAAACCAAGATTCCCAAATTGAGGTATACTGCACAGAAGATCCCAAGTCATGGGAACAGAAAGAAAAGAAAGACACACATATCTGAAAAATGAGACTTCACAGGTGCTCAGCTTCCAGGATATATGAACACACCTTGGTCCTGTCCAACTGCATGCTGGAACAGGACACCACCAGACACTACAGCCCTGGTGTCCTAATCTCCAATTCTGAGTGCAAGCAGGCACTTAGCATAACACATTTCCATCGACCCATGGGGCAGAGAACAAGGAGCACATTGTCTCCAGTTTAATCTACTCAGGCTTTGGGCAAAATGATGTTTCACTAACAGACTGAGAGGACGAATAGGTACAAACAGACAAGGTGTGTTGACCTTGCATGACAGAGAGCTGATGTCCTGAGAGGGCAGCTGCCAGGAAGGCATGACTCTTCTTGCACAGCCAAACTAAATTTGGGAACCCTGATCTCCTGCACGTAAATGACAGTTTGAATTTCACCAGGTCAAGGCACAGCTTCTATTCCACAACTGACAAGCTTGGATAACAAGATAAAAGATCACAGTATTTTACTTACACTTATTAAACTACAATTTGAATAAATATCTGCATGTTCTCACATTGCACAAACGAATACTCAAGTTTTTTTTTTTGAAATACACTCCTTGTTTTGATGGCTACTGAGCATACCAAAATACATCTGCAAACATTTCACTCAACCAATATGTAAATGCACGGACCACCTCCAAACAGAATAAGTTTTCTTGAGGCTGTGCTTTCAGAGACGTTACATCTGAACAGACTGCCTTGTTCCCTCCTGTCACAGCTGTAATTTCTAAGACAATGAGGTTACAGAAAATTACTTCTGGAAAATTCTGTATGTAAATATTATGAAATAAGCATAGGGAGTCCACAGGAAGCTTGCTACAAATGAAAATTATCATTTAAATTTGTGTGGGTCCTTCCTGTATATTAGGCACACTAACGATTAACTGTGTATTTCTCAGACCAGACAGGCCACATACACCTAAACCTTTTAGTTCTGACGTTTTGACTAGCAGACCTAGTTATCAGTGCAGGGACCAAATACAGAGACTGTGAAATTCTCCCCCAAAACGTCTCTCTATAGTGACCACGTTAAAGAATCATGCACTTTATAGTCAATCTTCTGGTGAAATTTATCTGAACTTGCTCAAAACTGGAATTTTAAGTGAAATCATGATTTGTATTATTTTCTAAAGCAATTTAGAAAATTGTGTTCATGAACTTGATCATTCTATCAGCAGTTCTCATTTCTAGAACCGTTTTGTTAAGGAAGAAAGCAAATCCCCACTCACTTCAGAAATGCAGTCTAACAACATTATTTTCCTACCAACATTTTCCTTTAAAAATTGTATTATGTCTGTCCCATAAACCCACATTACTGCTATCAGTCACCTGTTGTCATCATTGTGGTATACAGATAAAGAATTCAAGCACTGTGGAAATAACATTTAGCTGTACTTGGCCTTTCATGTGGGTTCCCACACGAAAGGCTGCAGTCTCTCACCTTTATATTGCAAGCCACTGCTTTGCCATCATCGCCTTTGTACATCAGCTTCATCCCTCTCAGAGCATTCATGGCCTCGATGAATCCTGCATACTCTCGGTACTGCACATACGCTTCAAAGTTTAAATGGCCTCCAAAGCTGAAAGTGTGAAAATTCCTGCCAGTCATTTCTTCTCTGTAGGGGTCCAGCATGGGTATGTCCACGTTACGGATTTCTCCAAATTTCTGGAAAACTTTTATAAGCACTTCTTCACTTGGCTTTTCCGAGCCAGTCTCCTTTGCTGCAAACCACTTACAAGGCAAACCCTCCAAGTGAATAGTATCCGGCCTTTCCCCAGGCAAGGTTTCGTTCATATCTTTCGCATCACGGAAAAATGAGTCCCAGTCATGTCTGGTAGGAAAGTCAATCTTGTATTCTGCAGCACGCACTTTTAAAATGTCAGAGAAGCCACTCAGCTTTATTGTTTTGCCATCAAGGCACGCCAGAAAAGATTTAACCAAACTTTTGTTCTCGACTTCTCCTTCAAACCGAATGAAATCCATTGTGCTTTTAGAAATCCGCAGAGTGGAAAACTGATGAGTTTGCACCATCCCCTTCAATCTTTCCATCACTTCCCAGTTCGAAATGGATTTTCCTGGTTGCTTCAGCTGAGGAAGCGCCACACTGATGGTCATTTTTGTAATGGGTTTAAGGTATAACCCACAGGGAGCACAGAGCTCTACAGCTTCTGATGTATCATGAACTATTGTTGCAGCAGCCATAACAAAGAAAAAGCATAGGATAAAAAATAAAAGATGCAAGTTTAAGTTGCAGGCCAACAGTAGTCAAATAAAATAGCCCTTATCCATAAATAATTTAATTCTTTGGCGATTTAACCATTCCCAAGTTAAAACGATGTCTCTTAACACAAGAGTGAATTAGATAATTACAACCGAGTAGTACAAACATCTTAAATTACTTTACAACCACTAGAGCCTATAAGTAATTAAATCTCTGTAAGGCCTCTGAATAGAAAACTAGAAGCTGATGACAGTCTTAGGAATACATGAAGTTGGTATGTGATTGCTCAGAAAGCAGCTACCCTTTCTCAGGAGGGAAGGGACTGGCGGCGCGATGTCACACCGCTCCCAAATCTACTTAACAACAAGTGAACTCCAGCAGGCTGGCTCCGAGGCGGATCTCACGTTCTCCGGAAGGAAGACCTGGAAGGTGTCTGCAACGAGAGAAAAGCGTCTCTTTTATTTAAAAGCCCAAAGCCCCTCCGCCCTTCCCTGCCGGCAGCGCCGAGCAGCCTCCGCAGGACAAGGCGAGGTAGCAACGCGTATCACACCGGAGCCAGCGGCCACCGGCGACAGCTGTCCCAGGCGGGCGGAGCCCGGGCGGCGGGGGGACACTCCGGGGAGACGCCAGCGGGGAAAGCGCCCCTCGCCGATGCCAGGGTCGCCCGCACGCCCCGCCGCCGGCTCCTGCGCGTCCCCCGGCAGGTAAAGCTCGGCCCCGCGTCCCTCGCTCCCGCTGCCCGCACCGGACCCCCCGCGCCCGTCTCACCCGCAGCCACCGAGACGCGCCACCCCGCGTGCGCCGCCGCCGCTTCCGCTTCCGCGTGGCGCGAGGGCCCGGCCTGAGGGAGCGCCTCTCTGCGGCGGGACGGCGCCGCCTGGCGGCGGGGCGGTCCGCGGGGCCCAGGGAGGCGGGGAGTCCGCTCTGCAGAGAAACACGGCCCGCAGGGACACTGGGTGTGCCGTGCTGAGCGGACACCCGGCCCCGTCTGGGGACAGCTGGGGCTCGCTGCATGGCAGTGCTCCCCCTTGCACAGCATCGGTTCGGTGGGAAAAGAACCTCAGGGTCATCGAGTCCAACCTATGACCGAACAGCACCGCGGCAACAAACCATGGCACTGTACATGGCCCCGTACAGCCTTTCCTTCAGCACCTCCAGGAACCGTGACTGCACCGCCGCCCTGGGCAGCCCATTCCAGTATCTAATCGCTCTTTCTGTGAAGAGATTCCTCCTAAAGCCCAACCTAAACCTTCCCTGGCACAGCTTGAGGCCATTTCCTCTTGTCCTGTCGCTGGTTGCCTGGGAGAAGAGACCGATCTACAGGCTACAGCCTCCTTTCAGGTGGTTCTAGAGAGTGATAAGGTCATCCCTGAGCTTCCTTTTGTCCAGGCTGAACAACCCCACCTCCCTCAGCTGCACCTCACAGGACCTGCACTCCATGGGACATGCACTCCATGGGACATGTGTTCCCTCTGTCATCCCAGGACACAAGGCCACAGATGGCTCTGGTCACCTGCCCTTGCTCCACCATTTTAAAACAGGTACCAGGTCTAGCTTTGGATAGAATTCCGCCGTTTGAGAAACTGTGACTGCAGAAACCTTCAGCAGCAGGCTGCGTGTAAATAATTGAAGCAGCACTGAGCTTAGTGCAGGAGGTCACCATGAATCCAGCAGCTGCAGCAAGACCGCAGCTGTTGCACAGAGGTGCTATTTCACACCACAGATGCTGGTAACTGCTGGCCCTACTCTGTTTCTGTTAAGGTTAAGTAGTAGTATAAACAAGAATAAGGAACTACTGCTGCCATACAACTTTTGAAACAGTTTGTGCTTTGTAGTCTGAGAGCCCCTGCATTGTATGTCACACCTTCTGCTACAGACTTGGCACAAAAAGCTAAGCCAGATATGTTCCAGGGAGCTTCAGTAGCAGCAGGGAGACCCTGCATATGGCAGTGATTTTTAATCCTGTGCATAATGATAGCCCCACTGCTCAAGACTGTGCCAGAAATCAATATTCTGTATTTTAAACTCAAAGACTAGAACAATGTTCTGAAAAGTTACAAGATACCAACATTGAGGTTACTCGTGACAGGACATCAGCCACGACTTTAAAAGCTATCACAGACTATTTTTCTGGTATACTCAAAAGAATTGTTACAAGCATTATATTTAGATGGACAACAGGAAGTATTGATAATGTACACAACTTTTAAAATATATAATCAATACTGAATTATAGAAAAGTAAACTGTCTCTGCTGAAATGCAGTCTTTTATGTTGGGCAGATGTGTTATTTTTATTTTTGCAGTGAGATACTTAAATGAGTAAATGAAATGTCTCCCTTTGGCTTTCAGAGTCTGAAGTGAAGGTCAGTAAAGCAAGGATATGACACCAATGAGGCAGAAGGATGAGCCAGAAAAGTAAACATCAGTAAGGGACAGTATCTGAGTGCAACTGTGCATGTAAATCTGTTTCGTACTGTAAGACATTGATTTTCCCCAACTCTTACAAATCATCTATCATGTCTAAAACTTTGTACCTTTTTTCTGATTTCAACAGAGTCTTATGGAAGATGTCACTTCTCCCTACAAACTCTCATCTATACCTTCAGTAGTTAAAACACCAAATCCCACAAAAGTTCACTAGAGGGAGTGGTTGTTACTTACATATAAGAGATCTATTCATAAAAACAATTAAAATAGGCTATAAACAGCAGATACTAGGTTTTGTATTCATGCCAGAATACAGATCATTTTTCCTTTCTTGGAAGAGAATATAATCCTCTCAACTACACACAGTCCTATCTCTGTACTTTTGTTCTTCCTGAAATGCAACATTTTTTTGACCTTACTGGTCATTTGCAGAAATGTATGCAAGATGTTACGTGGGTGTTTACATAAAATAAAACAACAACCCAGTATAATTCAATTTTCTTTCCTTCCACCTTCCCTCCTCTCCAAAACACACCAAAGAAGAAAACCTCTGTTTAGTTTAAAACTTAGCTGTATCTCTTGGAGATATCTCCTGTGTTCATCTAAATCTTTGCTACTACCCCAGAAATGCCCCTGGTACATATCTTTTGAGAAACAGAATATGTTGCACCCTGTGGTTCCTTTGGATATGATTATGGTTTTCTGTTGTCACTGATCAGGGGATATCTCTTTATTCTCTCCCACAGAGGGAAAACTGAATGATTCACTGTGCAGTTGAAGAGTTTATGAATGGAAATGGGAAGTGGAGGCAGGAGCACGGAAGAATCAGTAGAATCTCTCAGATGAAAAGATTGCATAACTGGTGAATAGACATTACAATGTTGGTTTTAGGCTCTAAATAGCCTCTTCCCACAAAGCAAAATTAATCCCTGAAGTGGGTAGGAACAGAGGAATGTAACTGAAATATATTGATTTATTTCCCATGGTAAGAAACAGCTCCACAAATAATTCCACTTCTTTCATTAGCTCTGCTTTTTCTTGTTTGGATTGTTCTGTGTGTCAGTGAAGTTTGTGGGTGTGACAGATCATCTGCCTTGGAAACAACACATAACATTAGAAGTAATACACACGCTGATGTAGGGCAACTTCAGTTAGCTAGAATTAATAATCACTTCCTGGGCCTGGTTCTCTACAGGTCTAACTATTGCATTCTGCTTAAAGCAATAGAATATGACAAGATAAAGATCCAGTTTCACTCTCTCTAACACAGCCTTATGGCAGAGAATTAGCCTTGAAGCACTGTGTAGGATGCAAAGCAGATTATATTCTACTAATTTGTCTCTGTGCCTGTACCCACTGCCATCTATCTCACACTAAACAGAAATGGCAATATTTTTGCTTTTTGCTTTCACTGAGGCAGAATTGGCATCTATTGTGGTATTGTTCTATGAACTGTCTGGTCAAACTACAGTGTGCTGTAGCCTATAAAACATAAAAATTAGATTTAATTGCCAAGACACATTGTACTATACTTGTTAGCACGATGTGTTTTTAAAATGTTTTAGTACTGTGCTGTCAGATGCATTGCTGGTTATTTCAGTTTTTATACATGCATCCATGAAATGTTTTCACATAATGACAGATTTCAAGAACTATCACTTAAAATAAATCAAAATGTAAAAGACTTAGATTTTTTTCTCTACTTTTTTTTTTTTCCATTGTCTGTTATGGGGAAAATATTTTAATTGGATTCAGATTAACGCTTGAAAATTGAGTATTTCCTCCATAGTATTGCATGTTGCAGATTGATACCAATCATGAAAGCGTCTCATGTTTTTATGTACAGTTTTTAAATCTAAAAATTTTCTTAGTAATTTATGGAGTGAAAGGCAAGAGCTGTTGGCCTTTTTGAAGAAAAAAGAGCAGCAGGTTGATAACATTAACCTTCCTCAGTAAGATATCTGTCTTGACAGGTTCCACAAGATTCATTTCAAGTGCAACTGTTGACACCATAAAGAGTTTGTTTTTTTAAAGAAGTAAAACTGTATTATTAAAATTGAAGAATTACAGTTCTGAAGACGACAAGACCTTTTAAGCTGACCTTTTAAGATCCCCTGTGTAGGTTCAGCCTGTCCCACCCAATAAAAGTTTCACCTAATCCAAAAAGACCAGAGATATTTTTGTAGATCTGGCATAAGTATAATTCATAAGTCAATTCCATGTTTCAGCAGCAATGTCTGTAACCCAGCCTTGCTTCTCAGCTCACTCATCAGGGCTGTCAGGGGAATCAGTGGCAGAATGCTCTGCTGAGTTTGCACTCTTTGCTCCTGGCAACCTTCTCTCGTTTCCCAGGGCCTGATTGTGAAATCTGAAAAGCTAAACAAAGGAAGGATGACCAAGCCAGCCACATTTGATTTGCACATAGCACTGCTTTTTTCATGCAGACAGGTACTGCCAATAAGTTCCAGAATAAGCTGCCAGGGCTCATTAATTACATCTTAGAAAATATCTTCTTGTAATTTCTATTACCAGATACTGAGTTTACACTAAGATGCAGATTAAGACATTTGAAATAATCCTTAGGCAGCCTAAATCAGTGACAAAGTTTTATCAAAGTTTGTTTCTGGCCCATACATATAAATATATATATATATATACACACATACATACTTCTATCTCCATCGCTATACATCAATCTATTTATAAAAACATTTGTATGTGTACATATATATATAAACTGATGTTCTCCTAAGGTAATTTTTCAACTGAGAGAGACACTCAAGTTTGTGTAGGGAAAGTCCTCAGGTGTCTGGTGATTCTGTGCTGCAGAATGACCAGTCACCCCAAGATTAGTTTGTAAATATTCTCCTCCCCTCCCTCTCCAGGTATATCAACAGGTAAAGAGACCACTTTGATATGGAGAAAAAGACTGGGTGGTCAGAATAAAATTCTGAAAGTCATATAGGTGCTACATATTGGCTAATATTGGACAGCAAACAACTTCCAGCCAGAGACTGAAAGCTCTCAAAACTATTAGGTGGTTGAATTTGCCACAAATGAGCAGATATTCAGGTCCTGTTGCCTGTTGTGTCATCCAGAAGCAGGAGAAAATGTAAAGCTATGGATACATAAGGCTGGTTTGGTAACATCAGCCTCAGGTGCAGTTTGTTTTGAACTTCGCCACAGGAAAGTCTGACCCATATATGTGTAGAATTTACTTTTTCTGTCCCTGTCTAGACACTCACATAAATCCTGGGAGTTTCCAGTATTCTGGCTGCAAAACCCACATCACTGTAGGTGAGCTGTTTTTCCTAACAGTGCAGTGACTGGATGGAATAAGTATTTTTTCATTATTTCTGTTT